ACAGGTCCCAGGTGATGCTTCCTAATGACTGAGGTGATCCTCTGACTGTTCCTCCAGCACTTTTTCAACAACGTGTGGTTAAGGTGATTCGGTTAAGGCACACAAACCACTTGGTCATGAGGAAACATCATGATTTGGCTTAAAGTACCCAGTTATTGGGGAACAGTCCAGGCTGGAAACACAGTGATTGTTATGTTCCCAGATCAGACTCGGGATGATCAGTGAAAGTGAAACTGGGGAAAAAGGAGAAAGGCAAGCAGAGTTAAGTGTTTAAAGAAAAGTTATGATTCATTGCACAAATTTAGCAACAAAAGGGTTTAAGGGAACGCTTCAAGATTTACACAAAAACTACTTTCTTTAAAGATAAACAAAGACAGCAACGCTATGTCTAAATTAACAGTTCAACAACGGGTTTGCCGCCCTCACTCCAGATGGGAGTGAAGATTACCAACAATCTAACACACAGCGCCCACGCTGGCCCATAGGCCGCAGCCTTTTTTCAGGTATTTAACCATCACATCCTGAATGGATGATTAGATCTCAGGTGTGTCCAACCACTCTCTGCACGCAAGAAAAGAAACACAGGAAACCAGCAAAGAAAAAGGGCGCACCCACCTTTGACCTGTAACACTCAGTCTGTTTCCATGACATCAGAGAAAATGGATTTATTGTGTCAGACTTTTAAAATCCCTGTAAACATGTCAGTGTGAGTGAAATGGTCCTGCAGTGAATGTGTCACAGTGGGACTAACACACCCAGATCATGTGACTCCTGCATGTATACAGTCAATCAGACCCAAACTGGCCGAGGCGCTCTGAGCATGCTCCACAGTTTCCGCCCCGGGCTTTGACCCGGAAGTCCAATAGCATTAAATGTGTAAGAGAAGAAGAAGCCGGTAACAACATGGAGAAATCTACATCCAGAGCCGTGACTTTTTGGACGTACCAAATGTACAGAGCTGTAAAGTTGTCCACCATGGTAGCAGTTAGCTGCTAGCTAACCGTAGCTAACTTGTTTGTCCATTGTTTGGTCTGTGACGTAATAGGTCAACAGGAAAAAGGTCCAATACTAACAAGCTGAAAGGGGGCATATCTCCACCTAAAACACAGCTGGTTTTGTTGGTTGTGGGTGTTGAACAGTGTCTGCTGTGGTCCAAAGTCGGCTCATATCCTGTGTCATTGTTGATAAGTCAGGAAACAATATGATGCGTATGAAACATGCAAATGTGATGTATTCTTGGTTTGCAGAAAAGTACAATGCCAACAATGCGTGTCCGATCCACCAAACATCTCTTATCCAGTGAGACATCTTAACTCTACAACAGGTCACCTCTCATTCCCACAGACTCCTCACACTGAAATGTGCTTTTGAGGACACGTTTCTTGTCATGTTTCCTCAACAGAGTTTGGCGTAATTTAAATCTTATCACAGTTTCTTCTTAGTGTTCTAGTATCAACAGTGTTTCCATGGTCATGGAAAACCTGGGAAAGGCATGGAATTTTACAGTCATGTTTGCAGGCCTGGAAAAGTAAAATATTGTGCAATCTTCAGCCAAGCTCTGCACCCTGCTGTGGTGGATTTTTAATGTACCATGGGTTTTAACAGATCTGAGGGAAACTGCACACACACTTATCCATTGATGAATTTAAGGGCATCATAATGAGATGTGGTGACAGAGACGTGTGCTAGAGGCCACTGTGTTTGAGTAGCTGTTGTTGTTGTTGTTGTTGTTGTTGTTATATGTTGTATTAGTTGCATTTGAATGTGTTTTGATGTCTCGGCCAGGTCTCTGTTGTAAAAGAGATTTTCCGTCTCAGTAGGACGTCCTGGTTGAATAAAGGTAACATGAAGCATGAGGCCCAGGTGTTGGATCTGATGTGTTTGTGAAATAACATCTCTGCAGTGTGATGTGCATCACGCTGAATGTCACATGCCTGCCAGTGAGTCTGATCTAATCTTGTCTCAGTTTAGGATGACATTTAAGATTTCTGGTGTTCATAAAACATGTTTACTGACTGAATTTAATGAATAATCCTGTCCTATCTCAGGATAAGTTACAGAAATGTTGTATCTCAGGAGTTTCCCAAGTTAAAATCCTGAATCGTGATGGCACAGACTCTGTTCTTAACTCAAACTAAGTGGCAGAGATGTCAGCAGCAGTGTTGTTAGGTGTGTATGAACAGCACGAACACTGAACTGTAATGATTAAAAGGCCTCTCAAACCTTATGATGACACTTTGATTTTTTTGGACCATGTATTAATGGCTTATATCGACTGCCAAGACAATCAATTTTGGATTTGATCAACGTGCTCCGTCTGGCTCTGGAGGCCTACAAGGAGGCGTGGGGCGCTGCCAGTGGTTGTAAAGATCACAAATGCACTCGGGTTTTGTAGCTGAGGGTGACTGCCAGACGGAGGTGACAAGTCAGAGTCATTGGTATCAAGGCTTTTCCATCTCAGGCAGCCCCCGGTATGTCTGAATCAAAGACACAGCCAGTCTGGGTACAGTCTAAACACTGATACACGACAGGATGGATCAATTCTACAGTTAGGTCAGGTTGGATCAGACACAGCCATGAGTTTAGGAATAACTTCTGTAATAGGAAAACATTTTTCCTCACTGAAACTTGAGTTAAGCACTTCGGATCCTCTCCTGTAATGAGGCCACTGGTCAATAAAGTTTTACTGAATGTGAACAAGGTTGAGTCGTTCCAGACTTTGTTTGTCTGAGTGTCTGCTGTAGAGACGTCGCTGCAGGAGGAGACCGTGTGTGTGTGTGTGTGTGTGTGTGTGTGTGTGTGGCTGAGAGTGAGGAAGACTATAGGTCACAGACTAAGCAGTTTATGAGAATTCTTGGTCCTCACTTGTTGCAGTGAATAAATCCTGATCCCACACTGACACTGGAGATTATGGGGAGGTTCTTTGTGTGTGAGCGGACACTTCCTGCTGCTCAGCCCTAAATTCTCAGCTTAGCTCCATAGAAAATCCCCTTTACTGCATTTGTCTACCTGTCTTTGTGGCTGGTCCGAGTCTCAGCACTGAGCTGGAGAGTCTGGGAGAATAAACTTTGAACTGGATTTAAATCAATGGATCTTTTTATTAATCGATCATTTCATTAATGAAGCAAAAATGCAAAGTTGTCTCTGGTTCCAGCTGCTCAAATGTGAGATTTTTTGCTTTTCTCAGTTTCATATCATTGAATATGTGAGTATTATCTGAACTGAGAGCTGTTGGTTTGATTCCTGCTCACAGTGAATAAATTCTGACGTTTAATGGTTCCTCAGGTTTAGCTTACCGCTAACTGCTAACTGTTAACATCTAACTTTTGACAGGAAGCTTTAAGTTCACAGCTAAATTAACCACAGTTTTCAGCCTGAGACGAGCTGAGTGCTTAAAGTAAAGGCACCAACTGTTCCACTACAATATATTTCATTATGACATTACTTTATTTAACTTTATTGTAGGGCTGCTTGATTATGGAAAAAAATCCTAATCACGATTTTTTTGGTCAAAATTGAAATCACGATTATGCAAATGATTATGCGGCGCACGTGATGACTTATTTACACAATGGCATTATCATTTCTGTCTCCACATGGTAGAACATTATTTAACTTGTACATAAGTGCTTGACCAAAGCAGTACTTTATTAAGCTTAAAATTATAAACAGTACTTCATCTTAATTTAACTTTCATATAAAATTACTCTAAATTGGATAAAACAGTATTTTATTATACTTTATTACAAAAAGTACTTTTTCAAACTTTATTATATCAGCAAGTTAACTTTATTTTAACAACACTTATATAAAAATACTTTATTTAACTTTATCATAACAGGGCTTTATCTTAATTTAACTTTTATGTAAAAGTACTTTGTTGATCTTAATAACAGAACCTCAGCATTTATATAGAATTACTCTAACTTGATTAAAACAGTAGTTCATTTAGTAGTTTAGTGTTTTAGTGGTCTACAGTAGTTTAGAGGAGAGTTTAAGATATTGAGATAAAACCCTAAATGTTAATTGTAGGCCGTATCGTTCAGCTCTGATTGTAAGTTGATATTAATGTAAGTGAGTTATTACGATTTATTTTTAGACTCTTGGTTGGACAAAACAAGAACCTGAAGAGTCTGGATTCTGGGAACACCTGATGAACATTTTATTAATGTTTTCTGACATTTTGTCGACTGTTTGTCTGACAGGTTTGTTGAAAACCAGAATTTATTGATGATGAAATTAATTGCAGCCTTTTAAACAGTCAAAACCATCGGAGACGATGTTGTGTGTTGATGCTAACGAGCAGCAGCCTCTTGTATATAAACAGGTGCCTGTTCACAGCTCCCTCTTAGATTCATCTTTGCCGTTCTGTGTGGAAGGAGTGAAGGAAACAGCGGCCATATCACTCTGTGGTTGACGGCACAAGAGGGATGGCAGGCCTGAGCTGCTCTCTCAGGTTGCCGTAGAAACCAGCCGGGGCTATTTGTTCCAATTTGCTCTGTGGCGTTGAGATCAAAAAGCTCTGAGCCCAAAGTGCTCTCTGCATATTAGCATCCACGTTTGATTCAGCACAATTAGGCTCCTCATTTACATCTATATTGTTAATTTACAGTCGCACATATTTGGGCTGAGCTGTGTGTGTGTGTGTGTGTGTGTGTGTGTGTGTGTGTGTGTGTGTGTGTCACAGGACTGTTGGTGTCGTGTTGAGTTCAGAGTTTAATGTGTTTGAACTCTGTGCTTTATTATTGTCCAGTTAGGCCTTCACTCCATGTAAAGGCATCTTGCAGGTCCCTCTTTTCCTGCAGCCCCCGACCGCATCAAGTCCCCGTTTAAATGCCGTTCCCACTCCGCCTTCGCCGCTCCATTGAAAAGTTGGCGGTTTGTTTACGAGAGCGCCAGCACTTCTTTGTGGCTCTGCACTCTGCTTATGAGAAGGAGGCGAGCAGCGAGTGAAAGACTGACCCTCCCCCTCCTCTCTCTGTGTCTCCCCCTTCTTCCAGATTCAGTTTGAAAAGGACAGACGGCCCTCTCAGCCCCCCACCCCCCACCCCACCCCACACACACACCCCAGTGATGCTTAGCTGGTGAGTACACTTTCATCTTTTCTCATTACAAACTTTCCACGCCACTTTCATGCATTTCTCTGATTAGTTTTTGCTTTTACCTGAATTTCTGCTTTGTATTTGTGACGGAGTTCAGTTTTTATTTTTCCTGTGCTGGCAAACACCAGACTTCTGTGTTCTGGTGGAAATCTCCACGACGAGGGGCTGCTTTATTCCTCTTCTCTCATTCTCACTTTCTCTAAACGTCTCTCTCTCCCCAGTACGTCTGTGGCCTCTGTAGAAGTTTTCTGGTGAAAGCCCTTTTCTGTTCTGACTCAGTGAAGTGATTTGAAAAGCAGCGGTGAGAGTATGGTGGTGGGGGGTGGGGGGTGGGAGGATAAGCAGGAGAGATGGAGGAACTGGCTGCCTAATGGAGGAGCTTTACCTCTCTGTCTCTGTCTGTCTGAGTGAATCACTCTGGGTGCAGACAGCTCTGAGCCTAATCGACACTGTGCAGTAAAATCATTCCTGAGATGAGCTGTGACACGAGTTCACAATCACCTCGTGACATCACCTCCACCACATTAAAACAGCAGTAAGACAATAACATCATTATCACGTCCCTCAACACCCCAGGCTCTTTGTATTTCGATCGTATCTTTGGAGTCGTTTTAGGCATTTTTATTGGATGGCACACGGGGAGAACACGTGGGCGAGAGTGAGGGAGGTGACAACATGCAACAGCAGTCCCCAAACAGATGCAATTACACGCTCAGCATCTTAAAGCTCCAGGCTGTTTAACTTAAACATCAACAATCACCAGAATGAATGATAAATGTTGGCGTTGTAAGTTTCTGCAAACCACAGATTCATTATGTTTATAAATGATCATTTAGCAGGTATGTTGAAACTTCACATTTCAGTAACGTGGCTATGTTTAGGCACAAAAACCACCTGGTTATGGTAAGAAAAGATCATGTTTTGGCCTAATATACCAAGTTTTGGTGGCACAATTCTGCCTGGAAACGCAGCGATATGTCTGTAAAAAAGAACTGCTTTTCATGATACTATCCCTGGTAAAAACACAGCAAAGGGCAGCCAAATTGCAATCACATTAGGTGGCTAATAAAGCGGTGGGAAATGCAGAGATGACTCGTGAAAACAAACCAGTGTTGTTTGTTGGTCTGCAGTGGTCAACACCTTGACAGGTTTCACACCAAGGCGTCATGCTGTCCTCCGTCAGCTCCACTTCCTGATGACATAGTCAGCTCATATACTACGTCACTTTAGAAACGTTGATATGATGCGTGTGAAAGGTACATGTGTATTGTAACAGTGGTTTGTAGAAATGTACAGTACCATCATTTTGTTTTGGCGACTGCAACAACCTTTTTTCCGCGACTAAAACGAGACAATGACGAGCTAAAAATAAATCTTGATAATAAAAACTAAGATGAAATCTATGTTTCAGTTTTATTGAGATGTGATGAAAATGATGGTGGTGCACTATGAGATGCCTGATGAGTGACAGGCTGGTAAACTCCAGTAAATAGTCTGCACCAGGATGTTTCAGTTGGTGCGAGAAATAATCAGCCGTGTGTGTCTGACTGTGGATGGTGGAGTTTGTAAGTTGCAGCGGTGGCTGTTAGCAGCTAGCTCCGCTCGTAAGACACTGAACGGCAGCAGAGCAAGCAGCAAGCTTTACAGCTTCACCCCGCAGGACTCCACTCAAAGTTTTATTCAACCTGTCACCTTGGTTTTAATTTCTGATACATGAATTATCCTCTTTAGTTCAAGGATGAAAAAACATTATGACTTGAAGTTGACTAAAATGTTCAGAATTTCCATCGACTAAAACTATGAAGGATAAAAATGACTAAAATGTGCCTAAACTAATAAACATTTTCATCTCAATGCTGAGACTAAATCTAAAATAGCTGTCAAAATTATCACTGAGCGACTGGGCTGTAAAATGCCTGGACCCAGACTAGTATGGGATGAGTGTTTTGTCCTGATTCAGTGTTGTCATGCACTCAGAAGATGTTTCATTTCCTCCTCTGAGAGGATTTCTGTTGAGCATCGTAAACAAGGTCCTCTTATGACAAGGATGACTCAAAAAGTGGTTCCATTTATGGAAAATGAAGTGGAACAATCATTAGTGGCAAACGTCAAGTGTCCCCTCAGAGATATCGATCTGGTGACAGAGTGTTTGTGCAAAAAATATATTGAGCTCTGTGTTTTAGATTGTTCTCAAATATTCAAAATAAACAGCAGGTGCTAAACTAGAAGTACTCGGCCTTAGATGTATTGTAGGCAAATCTTTTGAATCTGTCTAAGTGTGTGTGTGTGTGTGTGTGTGTGCAGTGCAGTCTCTTGTGCATTTACACGAGCTGCCAAAGGTCATGAGGTGAACTAAATGCAAAGCAGAGTGTTTGGTGTCACAGTTTCAAGGGAACATTTTGGTTAAAGACACAATGAAGTGATATCTTCACCCTCTTAATATTTTGGAAGCTGCTGTCCTTTTTGATAATGTCACAATTACACTCTGTTACAGTAACATTTTAAATGCTTTGTAAATTCAGCAAAGGCAAAAAAAAAAAACCCCTCCAGAAATTATGATCCACCGTTTGTGCGGACTCAAACAGCTCCGTTTGTCTCGTTGTTTAATGTGAAACAGCTGAATGTTGTGGTGTTCACAGTAATCAAGCTCTCCTTTGTTTGCATTGAAATTGCATAATTAAGACTTGATGTAGATTAATAGATCATACACGTTCTGTTATCTTCCTTCAGGTATAATTAGAGATTATGTGAATAAACATGAACATTAGAATACTGAACAAACACATCGCCTCAGGCCCTGTTGTTATCTGCTGCTGAGTGTGTTTTAAACTTGTTTACTGGAGCCTGATCAGGAAGAAATAATTGTTGAGAGTGAAATTTGTGATTTATGGGTTGCAGCAGATTCAGATTACAAATGAACTTGTGTGTGTGTGTGTTCAGGGCTCCCAATTTTATAAACAAAATGATCATGTTATCAATCACCTTTTGATTTATTGACTGCAGAGCATCTGTTATTAGATTTATAGAGGACCACCTTTAATAAAAATAAACCACAGCCCTGAATAAACCCAGATCCTCCTGTGTTTGGGATGAAGTTGGACATTTAAGTGGTCATGAAAAACTTTACTTGGAGAAACCAAAACCTTGGAGACGAGCACAGAGCAATTCATCATGAAGATGCTCCCATCTCATCCTCCTCTCCTCCCTGTCTGTGCTTAATATCCCTGAAGGCTGGCCCTGGCATTTGCTTACGTCCTGTTGTTTTACTCCTCTTGCTCAGTGCTCGCCTTCTTCTCACTTACTCTGCTTGATTCAATTTGTGGCCTTAATGTGTTTCCCTAATATGTGTCATTGGAGCAGAGCAGCGATGCTCCAGCTCCTCTGCGTTTGTCTTGGTTTTCTCTGCTCCTCTGGGAGGAGATCTGGGGCTCCAGTCATGGTTGGCATGTTGTCTCCTCCAGCTCCACTGTTGTTTGCTGATATTTAGTTCAGGATGACAATAAGCCGGAAGAAAACAAGCTCCTTTCAGGCCAATGAGAGAGAGAGACGGGTGGACTGAGGGAGAGGGAGACCTAGAAAATAAAACAGGGGGGGGACAGGGGACTCATCCCTGGATGGGGATTCTCTTTAAAGCTTTCTGTTTGTGGCCCCTAGGGCCGAATTAAGGGAGTGTCATTATCCCTGGCAAATTACCACGCTGCCTTTGTGGTCCAGCCATGGTACATTAGGGCGCCTTAAAACGTGGCTGAGCCGTGGCCATTCAGCGCACAAAGAGAGGGGCCGCTGGCAGATCCTTGGCCTGGCTCACAGAGGAGGCATTCACACCACATGGGGGGATGGTGACGGTGGTGACGGTGATGGAGAGGGTCCCCTGAGATGAGTTAAAATCGCTCGGGCCAAGGCCGATGTCACATCTTAAAACGCATGCCAGCCGATGATGTCATCACTTGGCTTCGTGTAGAGTTTGATCCACCGTGGAAATCCCAGATCTGATAAGGAGACTGTTGAAGGTGGTTTCAGTGCCAGTCCTGTCAGACCTGCATGTATTCATCCTTTACCCATACCAGGACTTGGATCCAGTCTTTCAGTGGACTAATTGCTAATTAGCCGCGTAGCAACAAATTACCAGCTCGTGACAAATTAGCTCGTTTCTTCTTCAGCTTCTGGAATTTTCAGTTGCTGCTGTCAGATCTCTGTCTCATCTTAAACTGTAAACTGTCTCCTGTGAATATCGTCTGAGTGTGTACAGTTTAACTGTGTGTTACTGAGGATGGCGCACAGTCAGTTAGTCCTGCAGGAGGAGGGACAAAGCTAAAGGAGACGGCTTATTTCACATGTCAAATTTATGACAAACTAACAAAGTGAAAACAGATTGTTTATGGCTGTTGTTGGAGCCACAGTGTGTATTTAACCTCTGTAGTTTATTTGTTTCAGCTGCACGCGTTCTTTTGGTCACTTTCACTTCTGGTAGTTGTTTTTGGCACAGAGGTGTGTTTTCAAATTATTTACCTGTTCATTAACTAGTGTGGCGGCTCTTAGACAAAGAGGGTGAGTTTTTGGCTCCGTTATTTCCTGTTGACTGTGATATCACGTTACATATTTTTTCATTTAGTTTTTCTTTAGTTTTCTCAGATAATAATCCATAAAATGCATCCCTGAATTTCAGCATGAACTTCCCAGTTACGAGCCTGCTCGGCCTCCTAGTGGCTTTTTTCATTAGTAGTCGCTGCAGCTTTAATTTAGTGCAGAAACAATTCAGTCCTTCAGTCGATCAACAGAGGAAGAATCAATAACAAAGCTGGTGATCAATCGATTAAGTCACTATAAAGCAAAAACACCAAACTCTGGTTGCACTTCATCAAATGGGACTTTTTTTGCTCTCCTCTGTTTTACATCATTATATTTTTAATACCTCTGGGTTCTATATATCACCTTTCTCTACAGATTATAGATTTAATGAAGTTAAAATTGTCAGTTTCACC